TATATATATTCTGTGACTCTAGCTCTTCTTTAGACTTTAATTCACCATCCTTTTTTAATAGATCTTGATATTTTAAAAAGTTTGTTTTTGTCATAAGACTGGGTTGGATAAAGGCCTCTAACGGTGACACCCATACAGGTATTTTATAATAAATTTGTTGTACAATTTTTCTCCACATTCCCAGTAAAGCTCTTCTTATCATTTGTGAATTAAAATTTTTTTGTTCTTTGTCCTTTTTATACCATAAATAGGCATGCCAGCCTAATTGCAAATCATGTCCCTCCAAGCTAAGTAATCTATCGTTTTCTAGAGTTATCCATTCTTTTATCCAATCTAGAATACAAGCTCTATAATACAGAACGCAGTCAGGAAGACCAAAGCCACCCCTCTGCTTAGCATCTTGCATTACCTAGGATTGTACTTACAGTGCTATGAGCTTCCTTGTTATTTGACTTTAAGTGGTCCAAAGTTGGTTGTTAGGGCATATACTGCTAGCTGATTAAGTGATTTGTGGGTACTGAAGCTGTCAGGTAGTATAGATATGGATTCATTTCCAAAATAAGCAAGATTTGGCAACAAATCTTTTACTATATATGGAGAAAGAAGAATTGGCAGATGTTCAAGCTGGATTCAGAAAAAAGACACTAGAGATCATATTGCCAATACACATTGGCTGCAAGAGCATATTGAAGAGTTCAATAAGAATCTGTGCTTTGTAAATTACAGCAAAGCTTTTGACTTGTGGATCATGATAATTTATGGATTGTTCTGAAAGAAATAAGAGTGCTACAATATTTGATTGTTTTAATGCCTAACCCACACTCTAGAAAAGAGGCTACTGCTAGTACAAAATGTGGAGAAACAGAATTACAGTATTTACAAAATTATTAGGCAATATGTATTTTATTTCCTATCTTTCCGTCTATATACAGAACACATCATAGAGGTTGAATTAAATTCAGATGAAGGAAAAGTGAAAACTGGGAGAAAAAAAAGCAATAATTTCAGAGATGATTGTAAATAACACCATGTTACTGGCAGAAAGTAACAATGAGTTGAGATGAATACGTATTGATGAAGGTTAAACACAAAAGCAGGGTTACAGTTGAATGTTAATAAAACAAAAATAATGACTAAAGAAGAATTGTATAACTTTAATGGCAGAAATCAATAAATCAGAATTGTCAAATATTATCTACACCAACATTCAGTCATCAATCAAAATTGAGATTTCAACTAAGAAAGCAAAAGACTGACATTTGCAAAGGCAGGAATGAAGAGGCTAGAAAAGATAATTAAGAATAAGGTATGATGTATCAGTGAAGGTCAAGACCAAGGTCATCTGTACTGTGGAATATCTGACTGTGGTGCACAGATATGAAAACTGGAAAATGATAGGAGCTGACAGTAAAAATGCATTAATTTGAACATGGTGTTGGAGGAGAGCTTTATGGGTACCAAGGACCACCAGAAAGACAAGTAGCTGCTAGATCAAATCAGAGAGCCAGTGTGGTGTAGCAAATAAAAGCACTGCACTAGAACTTGAGAGATACTGGTTCAAATGCTCACTCAGTCATGAAACTCATGGGGATGTGGCAAAAGTAAACCACACCTTGCACATCTCATACAACTTGAAAACCCTATTAGGGCCACGCAAGGTCTGAAGCAACTTGATAGCACAGAACAATACCAACATCAATAAATCCATCAAGCTTGCATTCTCACTAGACGCTAAAACTGCTAAATGAAGGCTATTTTGGTCTTATCACGACAAGACAAGTGTTGCAATGCCAGGAAGCCCTAAGGACAGAAAATCCAACAGGAGACAGGTTGATTCAGTAAAGGAAGCCGTGGATGTTAGTTTACCAAACTAAAACAAAGCTCTTAATGATAGGGCATTTTGGAGGTTATTAATTCATGTGGTCTGTATAAGGCAGAGATAACTATGGTACAAAAGAATAGAGCACAACTTGCCACATTATTAAATGAGAGGCATGATGTTTGGCTTCCTTCTCAGACATAACACTGGTTATAACACAAGCGTGGACAACTAGTATCCGTACAGGTACTGCTTGGCTGCAACTGCCAGCTTTCCTCATATCTTGCTGCACTGCCTAATACTCCAACAATACCTGCAGAATCCCGAATTATCCCATTCTTGTAACGCATTGGTTCCTAATCCAGGTGCTCTTGGACTGCAATTCCCAGAAGCCTTCACTACCACCTCTGCTGGCCACCATTTCTGGGAGTTGAAGTCCAAAAACACCTGGGTTACCCAAAGTTGGGAACCACTGCTCTAATATATTGGGAACCACTGCTCTAATGTATTGGGAATTTATCGTTTAAAATCGTTTCTTGTGCACAGTGATAATAGTCACAGGCGGCCCACCCTGTAAAAAAACTTATTGAGAGAGAAGAGGGAGGTTGAGAGCAAACGAGGACACGATTTGTGGGTGGAGTTCATGTCTGTCACTTAAAGGAGCACCAATAAGCTCGAACTTCCAGCGCTCCGTAAGGCGCTTTGAGTAAAACAGTGGGCGTTGCCACGTCCATGCAAGCTATAACGTCAGCACGTGGGATCCTTCGGCGCTTCTGATTTGCCAAAGCGAAGAGACGGAAGAACTTGCGCTTAGAACTCGGGCGAGAGTCGTTGGTGGTGGAACGAAGGCTTGTCACCTCCGCAGCTCTGGCAGAGGGGTGGGCTTTCGCCAACCGTTATCTCCCCGCGATACGCTTGGCGTATCGTAACCTCATTGGTCAAGAACCCTCGAATGGGAGGTGGCGATTGGTGAAAGCAGAATGGATAGGCGGAGCTTGAGAGGAGAAGGTTGTAGTAAGCTCTGGAAGATTCCTCCGCCCGCCATATAAATGCGGAGAGGGGAAAAACCGGCCCCCTAATTAGAGCGGGTGCAGCCGAGGAAGCTGGCGCTGGGGTGCCCTTGCTCGTTAAGCAGCGATGGGGAAGGACTATTACCGTATCTTGGGCCTGTCCCGCGGCGCCAGCGAGGACGACATTAAGAAGGCGTATCGCAAGCAAGCGCTGCGCTACCACCCGGACAAGAACAAGGACCCCGGAGCGGAGGAGCGGTTCAAAGAGATCGCCGAGGCGTACGACGTGCTGAGCGACCCCAAAAAGCGGGAGATCTTCGACAAGTTCGGCGAGGAAGGTGCGTCCCCGGGGAGGGGCCGGAGGCCCGGTG